TTTCCCTCCTAAATGAGTTTTAGTCCAAGTAGATGATGTTATTGCAGGTTGCTTTTCTCTGCACTAACTTATGAGTTTCATATGGTCTTCCATTTATTTATTTTTTTGCCTCTTAGTAAAAAGCATTAATGTGGTTTTGCTGTTCAAATATTTCCTTTTCTCATTCCCCCACCAGCATAGTTTATTTAAACTAGGGTCTATCTTTACAAATTAATAAAACCTCTTTGCTAGAACATGCGAGTGGTCTTTTTCTCTCCTCTTACAGATCATTTAAATGCTCTCTTGTTTTACTAACAGACCTATACAATAGAAGTTACTTTCTAGTGTCTAAGGATTTCCTAATGCAGAAACATGAGATCGAGACCCTCTAGCTCAGTGTTTATAAATGACTTGAGAATATCACGTTGGCTGGTTCAGTTTTTTAACCTTAGACGTTCTCATTTCCAGGATGACACTGGGAAGGCAGGGGCAGCAAGGAAACAGCTTCTTCAAGGGGAGATCTGCCCTTGGTTTTCTGTGTCTCAGGTCTTCCTTCTTATCTGTCCTTTTGGGGTTTGTTTTGTCCTTCCAGATGTTGACGAGTGCGCAGAAGCCACGGATGACTGTCACATCGATGCAATTTGTCAAAACACACCAAAATCCTACAAATGCATCTGCAAGCCGGGCTATAAAGGGGAAGGGAAGCAGTGTGAAGGTAACGACAGATCGGCTCCTCCCCTGTCTCTCCTCCCCTCCCTTCTCTTATTTGTTTGCTCTTTAAAAGCTTTTGTAAATAGCTGAATTCCTGAAACGATTAATGCAGATTTACAGCTGCTTAACCTCAAATCTGGGTGTTTATTGGCAAGCATCCCCCTGCTGCTTTTGCTAATTGTCCGGCACCGCAGACGTCGTGCCCGCCAGCCTGCTTTTAAAAATAAAATCAAAAAAGGTGGGGGGAGTTCCCCACCGAGGCGACCCCCGGGGAGCACCAGCTCGTCCCTGCCAGGGATGCGCTCGCTGCCGCCGGAGGCTCGAAGCGCCGCGCCGAGCACGTGGGGATGGGATGGGATGGGATGGGATGGGGCCCCTGGCTCACCCCGCGGCACTGCGCGGTGCTGCTGCTGTCCCGGTCCTGCTCCTTAGGGCCCTCTTAGAACAGGGAAGCTTGTACCATCCCTGTGATTTACTGTCACTCTTCTCACCTGGCCAGAGCCTCATTCTCCCTGGGCAAGTTACAGTTGGTGTTTTTCTTTATCAACTCGAACAGGATCTTGGAACTTTTCTGCTCTTTGACACCATGCATGCATCATGATAATTTATTTCTAGTCTGTGGAACACTGTATTAAAAGGAAGTATTTGAAATTATTGTGCTGTACAGACTTAAAAAAAAGTTGGTTTACTTCTGTATGTCCTCACCTCGGTCCTTATGGTTGAAAAAGACCTAGCATGTTTTATTAGGCACTGTGTACACTCATATTTCAGATTTTATGAACTCCATCTTGTCTATTGAACATCAGCAGAGAGATTGATCTCTGGTGAAAAGAACAAATATTGGAATTCCAGCAGAATGTCTTACAAATAAGAGATGCAAGACTTATTTTATCTGCTTGTAGGCGCTTAGCAGGTATAAAAGTTTTCCTCCCAAGTGTCTTTTTCTGTGGGAGAATGAAACTTTATTAAAAACTGATATAGCCGGTCCATTAAATGGATTAAAGACCTTGAAATGACTTTGCTGAAGTCTACAAAAATTTGAAACCACATATTATTCTCCATGGACTTTCAAAGTGTTTGTTCAAATGCCCTCATAAAGCATTTTTGTGGTTGTCACATTTTTCTGTCTTGGACTTAAATTAACAGAGACACATTCCTACTGTCCACTTTTTGGTGCTCTACTGTCTCTGAGCTGCTGTTCATTTGGAAGCCAGATTTTCTTTCTTGCAAACTGAATAATCATTCAGCACCAC